TTTTTGATTGGAAATTTTTTCCCAAAATTCGTCGTCGTGGCGCAGTAAGTTGCGGGATTAGGTGTCCTGCACTGTAGCAAAATTGATGACGATCGGCAAAAACTTTTTAATGCGGAAATTGTTGAAATATATACAAAATAACATGTAATATTTGGTTGTATTGGTTTTTTCATTATTTAATAATTTCACTTTTTCCAATGGTTTAAATGCTTGAAATTCTTTATAATCTATTCCTAAATCACCGTGTTGAAGAAAATTAAAAGCTGTCTCAATGGCAATTACAGCACCTTTCGTTGAAACTTTAGGCATAGTGTTACTCTCAACAATTTCTTCTGGATTGAAGAAGGCAATTATTTCTTCTTCTGTCACCATTTCATTATTTATTTGAAAATCATCAATGGTAATATATTCTTCTGTTTCTAATTAAGGGCAAATGATAACTGATTGATTAAATTATTAACATCATTTTTTCTCTCTTCAACTATATTTCTTGAATTTTCAATTTCATTATTAGGTATTTCATTTTCCAAAGAGAGAATCCAGTTTTCCTCCAACTATATTATCAATTTTGGTAATTTGGTCAAATTTCATAAATTTATATGTTGTGTGAATCTGCTGTGATGAGACTAGTACATAGTAGAAAGACCCCTATCAAAAATCCGTTGTAACAAGAAATCCACTGGTGAGGTTTGACTGTAATAATAATTATATAAAAAAAAATTAATATTAAATGATGGTTAACCAATTAAAAAAATATCTTAACTGGTTAACTGTTTAATTGCGGTTAACCGGTTAACAGTGCCAACCCCTAGTTTTTATTATATTTTCATCACTCGGTGATGAAAAATATAATAAAAACAATGATGATATAAATATTAATGATATTATTATTGATAATAATAAATAGCAGTAGTAATAATGAAAAGTTGAATTTTTGTCAGTGCCCAAAGAATAGGTAATACTTACAAATGGCTTTGGGTCTGAGTATTTTCCTCCCATGCAAGTGCTCTGACAATATTTTTATAAATCATTTTGAATTAAAATAAAATAATTTTCTTGTTAATTTTGTAAATAAATTTCAAGTCATGTGCCATTATTTTCAAAATTATGCATAGACAATTAAAATCTAGATGGTTACAATGGTGTAATCTGATACTTTATGACCAAATTATACAATGTTTTTTCCATGATGGAATGTCTGCATGGATTGGATTAAGTGAGATTTTTCTTTTTTTTCATGTAGGTAAAGCTGTCCATGTGGATCATTCCATGATTTTGAAAATTGTCATGTTTGAAGAAATGCCCTAATTCACCATCTCAGGGTCCTTTCACAACTTGTTTCAGAATATTTCAGTAGTGCAGGTAGATGTGCAATGGGTGATTTCTTGGCATGGTGTTGCCACTTTATGCAAGTAAGCCCATTTGTCTTTGGTCATCATCAAGTTGTAGAAGATCTGAGAAAGGCCCTACACACTTATTTCTTTCTGAAATTCGATGACAAGGTTGTGGTTTTGATGAATGTTTCTCACAGTTCACATTTCTGGTGGCCAGTATCTGGTTCTAATTTTGAAAGTTTCTTCTTTTTTCAGCATCAATGTGCTAGTACCAACACAAGCAGGACCTAGCTATCTATTGAAAGTGGTATTTTTTAATGTACTCATAGTGTCCCTTCCTATTGGGGGAACCGTCAAAGCTTTCAGATCAGGGTTTCCAAATAAGATCAGGAGTTTGGCATTGTTTGGCTCAACAAAACCCACAATCAATCTACTGTAGTTTGTGTCTGTTGCATATTTTTGGAGGAAAGAATCATTTAGGACAACCAAATCTGGAGGATGGGGAACCTCTTCTGGAAGTTGATTGCAATAGTGGTTCAACAAGCAAGTTAAAATGATTAGATGCGGGCTTTTTTTATTTGATAATGTTTATTATATTTGAATTATTCAGATAAATTTTAATATATTAATAAATTATTTATATATGATATATTGATAAGTACATCACTTCAACTTGTTAATGCTATGAAAAAATGAAATCATTGATTTGAAAAGGTAAGAAATAAATAATTTTGCAGTTATGTATGTATGATAACAATGATTATTAAAAATTATATATATTTATTTTTTTGTCAGAAATCATTATTTTTTATTTAGTATGCATAGTTGACATCTGAATTTCAAAATGAAAAAAAAATTCAAAAAAGTTATTATATAATATCATTTTCAAGATATTTAAACTATAGTAGTCAGATAAATAAAAATAAATAAATAATTTAATACATAACCAGTGATAAGATTTAATTTATTCAGGTAAGTCATCTGGTATAGCTAAATCAATTTGTTTAGAATCTACAAAATATTTATCACAAGAGTGAATATTGTTTGTTAATTTTAATAAAATGAAAATAATCAATAATTGAATGTTAATAATTACCATTATTATTACCAATAATTGTTACTTTATTGGAATTCACAGGTTGGGGAAGGTTTATAAAATTTAATAATCTGCTAGTATAAACTGCATTTGGATGAATTACTGCAGTAATTGTTGAAGGATCAAATTTTATTTCATCCATTTTCTCAAACTCTTTTAATTTTAATTCATCCTGCCATTCCCTTGAAAATCCATATGTTTCGGGATTATTTATTATCTTATAATTAAATGAGCCATACCAAATTTTAATAATCTTATAAATTTCATTAGTGGTTGGACGTTTATCTGGATTGACATCCATGCATTTGAATGCTAGTTTAATATAGAATTTTGGTGTGTTGTTTGAGAATTCTGGTCTTGTACCTTCACATATTTTCATTGCAAGATATTCATCATATGCCAAATTATTAAATGGTTTCTGATATTACAGACATCAGAACTCCAAAACTGTATACATCTGATGCCATTGTATATGGTTTCTTTTTAAAACTTCTTCTGCAATATATGGTAGTACCCCACATATATCATTTTTGTTTGATGATGATGTTTGATTAGCTAGACATGATAATCCTAAGTCTGCAATATATGAACTCATTTGTTTTTGAAGAATATTACCACTATGAAGATCACAATGAATAATTTTTCCTTTATGAATATCTTTTAAACCATTAATAATATAATATTCCATTTTAAATTTTTAAAATCTTTAGTTAAATAATTTTGAAGGATTTCCACCTTTCATATAAATCTATCACAAATATATATTCTTTTGTAATTAGATCTTGTGTTAATCCATAAATACAAATTATAGCTCCTTTATCATGAAACTTCATATATTTTGAAACTAAAATAACAAATAAAATATTTAATTACAACAATGATAATCAATAATTTTTAAAAATCTGAAAATAAAATAATTTACCTCATTAAGAAATTTATCAGAAATATTCTGTGAATTATGTAATTTTTTTAATGCCACAGTTCTATCTTTGATGGTCCTTTTACTTCATAATTTGTAAATTTCTGACCATTTAACCAATTGGCTTTGTATATAATTGCAAAACCACCTTCACCTATACTTTCAATATTTGTTAAATCATTATAAGGAATCCATTGAAGATGATTACTATAATGATACTTATTTGCTTCAAGTTGTGTACTTTTTAATCAATTCATCTAATGTTTCATTGCCACTAGTCTATCCTTCAGTTAATAGCTTTGGATCACATGATTGACACCATGAATCATAAATATTATATCTCTTGCAGGTTGGACATTCCCCATACCTTTTATCTCTTTCATCAGAATATTCATCATCATTTTTGTCAATGGAAGTATCGTCATGATGTTTATTTTCATCCAAAGTGTTTTCCATTTTTAAAAATTATTTTTGGTGTATAATTTGTCAAAAGAAATTTTTTCTAAAAGCCACAAACCACACAAAAAAAAAATAAAATTTATGACT